GGGAATCAGATTGTCATTAAAACTCTTCTGGAAAGTATATCATCTCTTTGACTTCCGGTATTTATCTGTGGGAGTGTGACTCTCATATTTTCTTCTAGAGCCTTTAATCCAAGTATCTAAGCCTCAGGGGATAAGAGTAGCACCTACCTTATAGTACTTCTATGAGAAATAGATGAATTAATCCAAGTAAAATATGTAGTGTAATACCTGATACACGGAAAGCTATTTTTACAAATAGAAATGTAATTTCTGTTTACTTATGTAGCACGATTTCCCCACTACACACTGAGGGCTCTTGGTTGCAAATAGTTGCAACTCTCTTCTTAGGATTCTTTTTCTGGCCCAGAGAGACTCATTTGGAGGGCGAATGCCCCCCATATCAACTCTCAACTGACAGGAGTCAGTGGATAAATACTCTAGCTTCCTCATTTCTCAGTGAAATAACTCTGAGTTCCCCAGCATGACTGCACTCCAATTGATTCATCTGAGAACATACCCCTTTTTTGGCTTCTTTTCCTCCCGTCTTACTACTTTCACTCCCCTAATGGTGTTTTCTGAAATCACCTCCTAAATAAACTACTTGCACTTGAATTCTAATATCAGGATCTGCCTCTGGGGAATCTAAACTTTGAAAAAAAAAGTTTTTGAAAGAAAATGCACCACAATGTTCTGCATCGTTATTCTGTGATGAGTGGGATTATAAAATATAAATTATAAATCCTTTTGTCATCTATATCTAAAACATTTTTTCACAAATATGAACATGGATAACAACTAATTGATTATTGAAACAGTCTGAAACATTACACTTACTTTTAGTTTCTTCAGAACCTGAGCACCTTTTCCTTCTGTTAATAATTCTAATTCTTTGTAACTAATAAATAAATCTTTTTTTACACTCCCTTTTTACACTCACTAAGTCCATGCCCAGCCCTATGCCTTTACTCATACTTTATCTAACACTTTTTATTACCTCTTCATCAAACCCCCACTCCCAATTCGTTCCAGCCCGTAAGCCATTTTGTGTCCATTTATTCTATGTATTACTTAATTGACATTATTAGTTCTTCCCATACTTTGCATCATTTTAAAGAGATACATGTGAAATACTGCTTTGCTATAGGCCTCTCAACTTTCTAGAATATTTGGATCAGCAATAGAACTACTTTCAACACAAAAATGGTGTTAGACCAATTCAAGATAAAATACTCCCTCCCCAATTATTTACGATAATATCTGAGCTGCATCTGCTGTTTCAGTCTTTAACAAAGGAGCTGTTTTATAGAACCACAGCAATGGGGGAAGAGAAGGAAAGAACAGAAGCTGGCTCTGATGCACTCATTCCACCATCCATAAATGATCTTTTCATGAGGACACAGCCGATAAGGAGAGAAGGAAAGACAAAAAGCATTCTTGACTGTGGAATGGAATAGCAGCTCCCCCTCTGTGTCTGATTCAGTTGCTCAGAATGGCTTTCTTATGGCTGCGCCTCTTGTGAATTATGAGTCTCTCTCCCTTTCTCTTCCCCCCAGGCTTCATATTAAAGACAAGACGCAGCTGCCAGGGCCTCCAGAGATTTCCCAGCAGTCTACTATGGTGAAATAAAATACCATGTTATGCTGGAAAACTAGCCAGTCCTTTTTTCACATGGGCTGTGCTATCTCATGGCCTGGATAAAGGATTCCAGGCCTGGACACTTACTACTTTTTCTGAGATTTGTGGGATGACCTTCTAGACGACAGTACTCAATCTTTTGGTGTTTCAGCTTCCTAGCATAATATTTATAATTACCTCCTAAAGAGACTATATACATTTGTATACCATTGGAGCAACTATTTTACTTCCAAGGAGGGAGAGGTTCTGTGGCCCTGTTGCCACAGATGATTTGGGATTTTGATAGGCTTGTGATCTTCTTTATTTGCATCTTTTGTGTCATTACTACCAGAAGGATTGCATTATATAAATGGGCTGAGGTTTATACATAATGATTGGTTGAACTGCTTCTGATATTTCAATCTTAGCTTTATCTGCCCAGAGGAAAATAAATCCAGCTAAAATAGGTTTGTAACCTTACATGGAGATTTGGAATACGCTACTGAAATGTTGGAGTATGCTGGTGAAATCAAACTGGAGACTATCTTTAGTTAAACAGTTAAAACCCCATCACAGACTGAGGCTGAAAGTAAACATGATGCCCCATGTTTTTCTCATATCCTGATTTCAATCTTTAAATAATAGGATAGACTTCAAATCCCAGCAAAGGCTGGGGTAAGTCTATAGACAAGGAGAAGGAAGAATGTGAGAAATTACTGAGTTGTTGTTGATGACAGTAGCTCTCCAAGTGTGGACAGACAGTCCTCCATGCACATTCCTTTCTCTCTCTTCTGTTTCACCCTGCTTATTAGCTAGCAAATAGAATAAATAAACACCCTTCCTCTTGTATATACTTTGTTTTCAGAAGCCTTTAATAGATTAAAATCATCAGGTGCTAAGTATCGAATTTCTTTCTAACCTTTTTGTGGGGTGTACATGGAAGAATAGGTAAGGATCAAATTAATCATACGAAGGTTAATTTTTAATATGCAATTGGATAAATAGGTCCCTTTGGGAATACCCAAGTAAAATCAGAAAGTAGTTCAATTTACCAACTGAGGGGTAAAGATGGAATCTTAATTATTTTTCTATCTTTTTGTAATGCATGCTCAGTCACTTTAGTCGTGTCTGACCCTGCAACCACATGGATCATAGTCCAGCAATCTACTCTGTCCGTGAGATTTTCCTGGCAAGACTACTGGAGTGGGTTGCCATTTTCTTCTCCAGGGGATTTCCCAACCCAGGGATTTTTGTAATTAGTGTTCAATAAATATAGTTGGGTTGAATTTTTTTTAGTTTTTAAAAAATATTTATCCATTTGGCTATGCCAGGTCTTAGTCGTGGCATGCAGACTCTTAGTTGTGGCAAATGAGAACTAGTTCCCTGACCAGGGATTCAACCTGGGTCCCTAGCATTGGTAGTGCAGAGTCCTAGCCACTGGACCACCAGGGAAGTCCCTGGGTTGAATTATTAAATTGAAATTATCCATGCCTATCTTGAAGAACATCATCTGCAAGGAAATATTCTATTAAATGCAATGAATATATAAACTATACCTTGAACTTTTCTCCTTTTCTGTTGTGAGGTTAAAATGCTTTTTAAGTATAACACTAATTTTTCAAATTGTAACTATCTCTAAGGAAGGAAATTAACATCATTCCATTTTACAGATATGAGAACTGAAGTGTAAGGTGCTCTGGCCAGCGTGAGTCAGTCAGTCGGAGTCAGAATAGAACGGTGTGAAGATGGGGATAGAGGGAGCAGAAATGAAGTCTATCATCTGCTTTGAGGTTCCTTTTTCTCTCTTTCCCCACTGACTGTATAACAACTTGGGAAGGCCTAGCATTGCCTTCTGATACAATGGGAGAAACTTTCTCCTGCCCATCAGAGGGGTAAGACAAGGAGGAAAATCTTTGGACTCAGTCAGGATGGAACCTCTGTTTAGTTCCCCACTATAGACCCCCATCCACCCCATACATTACGATGCCTACCTAACTTGACACTTGACTTGGCCCTAGTGAACCCTGGTCAAGTGAAAGAATGAATGAATAGAAGCCTTGTGACTCCAGTTTAGGCATTTGAACCATTGAATCAGTATTTTTAAAAATGGTACAGTCATCCCCTTTAAATGCCCCCAGCATCATTTATTTTCAACTGTCCCTGCAAAAACAGAAATGAGAATCTCTCCACGTGTTATATAGGACCATACACATTAGATTCTAGTGATACCCTTTTCTAATAAACAGATACCTAAGTAAACAAATAAACACAAATACCATATATGAGGAAGGGTCTTCAACACAGTATGAAGTGAGAAAGTTTTAAAGCAATCCATTCACTGGGCTACATGCTTTTAAATGCATTATCTCATTTGATCCTCACAAAAATCTGAGATGGGTGTTCTTTTGGGCTCCTTTTTATAGATACAGAAACTAAGACTGAGAAGTTAAGTAACTTGCCCAGAATCACACAGCTTGAAAATGAAGAATCTGTTTGAATCTGTTTGAATCTAGAGCCTGGCATCTTACTCCCTCCCTCTGGTTCTTACCCCTATGCTGGCTTTTTGAATCCTCTCTTGCTTCTCTTCTGTCCCTTTTTTCTCAATTTCTGTATCTGTCTGTCTGTTCTCTCTCTCTCCTCTCTCTTTTCTCTCTCTGTTTCTCTCCTGCCACATATGATAAATAGCTTTCTTCACATTCTCCAAAGGGTCCATGATTTAGAAATTTTCATTGCCAGAGAGCCTTGCCAGGCCCAGATTCACAGGCCCAGCAGGATGTCTACAATTCCAGCCACCAGGTCATTGCCTCAAGTCACTGCCCAGCTGCTGAGCACACCCCAGACTCAAAGATGCTGCCTGGGCTGGGGCTGTTCATGCATTTTGTCACTGGGATTTGAAAATGGCAATTATTAACTTTAGAAGCAGTGTTTAGAAATGGCTGCCACTAGATTTTGTCAACTAGTTTGTATGAACATGGGTTATCAATATAAATAATTTGCATTAGAGATTTGCTTGGGTGCTCCTGTAAAGACCTTCTTCATGCTCTAGAAATTATGAACATCAAAAGATTATCCAAGCAACAGTGGCATGCCTTGCAGAGAGCTCTCCAATACAGGTGTGCCTCAGGTCACGTCCTCGCGTCTCAACCCTTCTGCTCTCAGTGGTAGGGGCTTGACTATCCTTGACAGAGATGAAAACAGCCCAGCATGGAACTTGGAAGCCAGTAGCAAAGATTTTTTAAATGTTCACAAGGATAACAATAAAGGATAGAATGCAACCTAATATTACCCTCTCAGGGCAATGGATAAGGAGTAGTAATGATTTCTTTAAAGAGAGAAAATCCTTAAGTTGTGTGTGATATTCTTTTTTTTTTTTTTTTTAGGAGGTTGGAGAAAAGAGGAAACCATAGAGCATATTCTGAGATGGGCAACCTTCCAAACATCACAATTACTTCTGTGGAAAAGCAGAGTTAAGACTGAGAGGGTAAAAGTCCAGAAAGTCAATGGCCGGTCTGGATTTAAAACTTGTTTTGTACATCTGGAGATAAAGAAGTCAAGGGGCCAAGGAAAGAATAGAGTTAATGACCCACATGGTAGTCAATGAGTGTTACTGGAGGGCTGGCTGCTACTATGGGAAGAGTACAGAGGCTGAGAATTGCAGAATTAACCATTAACACTGAAGGGTCCTTGGGCTGAGACCTTTCCATGGTTTATTTTGTTTTACTATAAATCATTTACTTAATGCACTGTAGTTCTTAGGATAGTACACTCTGTATTAATTTATGACCATTATCGAGTTGAAAGAGAAAACACAAAGTTTGTATATGAAAGAAAATATGTCTCAAATTGTTTTCTTTAGATCCAGGACTGAATGTAGGAAATCAATGCCAAGACTCATTATTTAAGGGTTGCCTAAACTCTAGCAGTTGTTGAATGATCTTAAACCCTAGTCAAATTGGCAATGGAGTAGTTTGCCCCACTCCCCCCCCAAATCCTACTTTTTGTAAATGTCTATCCATTCTGACTTGAAAATATTCTCAAACGTTTTGGAAGAACACAGAGCTAGGGAGTTCAGTAGCTTGGTGAGAGAGTTGTAAGAACTTGACCCTCTTCAATATACGTTCATCAAAAACTCAATTTTTTCAGTAGGAAATTTATTCAGAGAACATTTATTCTTCTAATTCATTTTCCACTTGCAATCCTATCTGTTAGATGGGATGTTTCAAGGAATGATTTTTAAAAAAAAAAGAAAGCTATAATGCAAGCATTTCTCTGAAAAAGAAGTTTGTACTACATTTGCCCTTTATCTGATTGCAATTATCTTTCTCCAAAAAAATCTTGCTAGAACTTGCAAAGTTCTACAGAAATTGGTATGGAGTAGTCAGGCAATGGCAAGTACAAGAGTGAAAGAAAACAGCAAGTTCTGACTTTGAAAAGTATTTACATACATTCCAGTGCATTCCAAACACATAAAGAATAAACTTAGTAGGGAAAGGCATTCCATGCCCAAAGCTGAATCTTTGAAACTGGGATCCGAGAAAAAGAAAAACTTCATGTTACTGCTAAGCATAGAGAAACAGAGCAGAAATTATAGGCCTAAATGAAGTGTTCCTGGAAGATTCGTGAGCGAGAAGGGCAAGCATCCACCAAGTAGATACTTCTCATAAGGACATGCTTTGCAATTTGAGCATTTTTGAAGTTGCAATGGAATTTTAAAGCCATCCAGAAACAACAGATGTTTGAACGCAAATGATCCAATGTCTTGATGCCAAAATTAGGACTCTGATGAGGAACGTTAGAATTCTAACATATGAAGAACTACTTCAGGAACTCTTCTCCAGGGGAACAGTTGAAAGAGATTTATTCTGTGACTTGCTGACCCACCCTTAATCTTTGCCCGTTTATACTCTAAGTGATAAACATTTCTGTCAAATGGAAACAAATTAAAATGCAAGTCTCTTTCCTAGGTCTAACTTCAATCTCCTCTCTCTCCCCTTTGAGCACTCAATCTCTAAATTGAATTATGAAACTAGGAAGAGGACTCGTCTAAACTTTTACATATGAAAACCAATAATAGGATATCATTGAACATACACAGCACAGAATTATCTAGCTAATTTAGTAGTTGTAAGCAGCAAGTCAGATAGATATTTCAAACAAGCCAACTGCCAATATCAACTCCCACCAACAATAAATAAGCAGACTCCACTTTGCAAGGTACTTTTCCCCCCCAGATTAACTTGGTAACAGATAAATGCCAAATCTCTGCTTTTATTTAGTTTTAAGGATATATTGAGGTTTTAGTATAATTCTCAAGCAAGAGAGTTGTTTTCTCATTAGCTTGTCAGATCAACTTTGCCCCCACCTCTCTCTGTTAAACAAGTAAATGCAACTTAGATATCAAATCCCCTTATTCAACTTTCAAAGAAACTTTTTGTACATCTCACTTATCAACTCAACTTCCCAACAAGGTAGCAAGAACTATTGGTTTCCAGAAGGATGTTAGCATATTTCATATTTCTTATTTCAGCGACATAAATACTCTAAAATAGCTCCTGTGAGGAGAAAGTGGCAGTATGGTCATGGTTCTAAAAGGGAGTCAGGAGCTCAAACTGAAACTGCATTTTAAAAATAGCATAGCAGCTATGATTATAATTTAGCTCCACAGCATGTAAGCGTGGTATGAACAGGAAACGGGAATACATCTTCTGAGCCTGATAAGATTCTCTAATGTAAGACATATGCTCTGCTTCTTAGCTGGAGAACTAGACCTAGCCAGAAAGAAGAAAAGCATATATGTTTATCCTTAACCCAAAGATTAAACCTATCAACCTTGGAAGACTTTTTGAATTACTGTTGAATTAAGTGATGAAGTCAAGAATTGCCGCATAGATTTCAAATCCAAAAAAAAAAAAAACTTTCTAGAAAATTGAAGATTTGAAGTAACTTCCAGAGGAAAATTAATTAAGTGAGCTATGCATCCCAAGACTGTGTTATCTCAGTGCAACCTCCACAGGGCAGAGACACTCCTTAGAGAAATCAGTGCTAATCAAGGGGACACTCCTGACAAAATAATCTCCATTGTTTATAAAAGGCCAAGTTGAATTCAGTAAGGAGCATGTGTTTTAAAAACATTCTACAATATCAATAATTATTCCTAATTCTACTTATGATGAATAGAAACATGACAAAATGCCCTTGAGATTGCTCTTCCATTCTAGGAAGGAACTGATGGTTTTGACATATATTTCCAGGTTAGCATTGAGGACAAAACATAAGATAAAGAAAGCGACATTACTCAGCATTGATACATGGCAGTACATCAAAGTACATATGGACTTACTATATCACCCACGCTTCTAGTCAATATTAGGAACAGTGGAAAGGAGCTGATACCAATGTCTGTCATCAAAATACAAATTTTGATTTATTACCCTTTGATGCAAATTGTCGTAAAGAAAACCAATAACAGCTGGAAAAGAAACCAACAGAAAAAGAGTAGTTTCTAGGCTCCATTTCTTTACAAACAGAAGGCTAGGGAGATTTGTCTGGTTATTCAGAATAAGAATGAATTTGCTCATTCAACAAAAATTTATCAAGTGCTTCCTTTGCATGAGGCACTTCTGCAGTTGCCAGGGATCTGGCAGTAAGAAAGACAGAGAAGGAGCTTACATTCCAGTAGAAGTCATTCAGTTAATATATAGACAAGAGACTGTGAAGGGAAAGAGTGCTGTTAAGGGGATGAAAGGGTGATGTGTAGAGAAAAACAAAATAGGTGGGGACTGTTTTAAGTAGGATGGTCAAACAAAGATTTGCTTGAGCAGAGACTTGAATAAAGAGAAGTCAAATGGGTAAATATACAGGAGAATGTTCTAAGGGTAGAGGCAAAGCTAGTGCCAGAGGTCCTGAGGTCAGAACAAAGTTTGACTTCTTCAAGGAAACGAATTTAGTGAGGTCAAAATGTGGTGCTTGATAAGGAGATGGGAAGAGAGGTGGTTGGGAAGGCAGTAAGGGGCCAGATTGTACAGGACCTGTTGTTGTACCTTGGTAAGAGGTTAGAATTTCATTTGAAACACAGTGAAAAGTCACTGGAGAATTTTATGTGACCTTGATTTATTTTTAATTATAAAATATTTCAGGTATCCGAGAATGTATGTATGGATAACAAGAGAATGAATGCCTCAAGAAATTAGACTCTGTTGAAATCCCCCCCTTTCTGAACCTAATCCCCTCTCTCTTTAAAGGTAACTCCTATTCTGAATTTTATTTTTACAATTCTCATGCATGTTTTGTGCTTTTACCACACACGCACACACACACACACCACACTCATACATACCCATAAACAATATGTATAACACTGCCTTGGTTTTTTAAAAAGCTTAATGTGTAATTGGCTTTGCATGTTTTCAAACTTTATATGAATTGTACCATACTGTATCAACTCTATGACTTGCTCTTTTTCCCCTCTGTTATAGTTTTTTTGAGAATTGCTCATTCTCATAGAGTTCTTCTTATTCATTTATTTTTAACAATTGTTTAGTATTCTCTTATATTAAAATACTGCAATTTATTCATCCTTTGACTGATGGGCATTTATGTTGTCTTTAATGTTTCTATTCATATCTCTTTGAGCAGGTAATGGAATACAGAGAGACAAGAATGGAAATGTAGACCAGTTGGAAGACTCTTCAGAGTGCAGCAGAAAGCCAGCAGTGGCTACAGTTAAGGTAGCAGCAACTGAAATGAAGAGACATGGAGAAATTTAGTATATATTTTGGAAATGCAGCTGATGGGACTTTTCGCATAGATTTAATAGGAAGGTGGAGTTGCAGAGAGAAGGTAAGAAATCAAGGAATAATCCTAACTTTTGGTGTTAAGCTATTTTTGAGGCATCTAAAGGCCCAAATCTTAGAACTTCGTAAGGTAACATGTGATGTGATATCTTCCTTCTCTAGTGCCTTGAAATGTACAAAATTTTGTTGAATGAATAAATAATGGAGTTTATAATTGGTTCTCTATGGTACATTGAGATTATATTGAGATTTACTTACATGGCAATCTAGAATATTTCCAGGTAAAATGAAATGAATTGGGGTTTTGTTAAAATAATCAAAGGGGGGCTATTTGTGTTTGAGGGTTTTTAGTAAAACAAGATTGACTCTATATTAAACATTTTTTTAAGCTGAGTGATGGGTATATGGGAGTTGAACTTTTGTAAATATTTGAAAATTATCATGTTAAAACGTTTAAGAACAGGTAAGAAAAAATTTTAACTATTTTCTCATCAAGATGAGAGTTGTCTCAATATGGCTCTTTAAATAAACATCCAAATACATAATAACCACTCCTCCTAAGTATGTTGTCCAAGAATTCAGGAAGCCCAGGCAAAGTTCGTAACCTTTTGGGATTTATGAACTCCTTAGAGAATTTGATGAAATATGTGAACACTTTTCCCAGGAAAAAAAGACACAGATGAGCAATTTTGCATAAATATATCAGGTTGTTCTTTTTTTTTTTAAAGCTGTTGTCATAAACCAGGTTAAGAAATCCAAATAGATTCAGGAAAAGACCTCGCTAAAGTTCTGACTTTAGGACTACAAGTTCTCAGGTAATTTGTTAAGATGGAATTTTGTCCTATTAGTTTTTTTAATGTTCTACTTTCCACACTTGGTGCTTACATTCCTACCTAGAGTTTGCGGTTGGATGATTGAAGTCTGAGTCTTGTCTTTGCCACTTTCAAGCTATATGATCCTGGAAAAATCACTTAACCTTTCTAAGTTTCACCTTCTCTGGAATACACCAAGTACTATTGGTGATAAAAATGAGCTAATATAATTGAAAGTCCTTTGTAAGATTTAAAGAGCACTATAAGTTAGTGGTAAAAATTTATGCTTATGTACCAAGAACTCTTATAAACATTTTAAGTACCATTATTAACCTCATTTTTACACATGAAGAAACTGAGACACACAGAAATTAAGTAACATGCCTAATGTCATATGGCTCGTCAGGGGTTGAGTTAGAATTTGAGCCCAGCCAATCTGACTCTAGAGTGTACATTCTTAATCTTTAAGCTGTGAATTTTAGCATTGTTCACCCTGCATATAACACCCCTCCACCGCTCCATGATATTATATTGTGCTCATCAGATGAATGCTATCAACCTAGGACTGAGAGAGAAACTGTAATTCAAGTAGCAGCCAAATTCCAAGGGGAAAAGATGATGCCATCTTGTCTTACTTTTTAATTTAAAAAAATTAAAGTTTTTAGTGAAAATTAAATTTTTATGTTTTTAATTTTCTTCTGTTTAATATTTATACTGTAAGATTTGATTTGATTTAAGTTCTTTTTCTGGAGCAGTTGTTAACTCCAGAGTTGGGGCAGAGAAAATAAAAGGTGAGTCTGGAGCATCTTATGATGACAAAAACAGTAAGAAAGTACTCAAAACCCAGTGGCAGCATATGAAAAAGACATAGGGTCCAACCAGAAAGGACTCCCAATAACTAAAGATGAAACAATCTGAGCAAGAAATAAAATAGCAATAGAATTGGATTATGATCCAGAGTAAAATATTCATGAATCTTACTAATATTAACAAGTGAATTTTAAAATAAGAGGGGGATGAAAAGACTGTCTATCTTACAAAAAAAAAAAGGAAAATAGAAGTGAAGAAATAGAAAACTGAACATAGAACACCACAGTAATATTTGTTTCAGGCAAGGTCCTTCAGTGGATACTAAAATCAGTGGAATAGAAACAGGATGTTTTCATAATCTCAAAGTGTCTCCCCCAAATATTTATTAATTATAAAGATAAAACTAGTAATTTTATAGTAGGGAAACCTGGCAAATAGCACCTTAATCAAGTGATGGGACTTAACATCACTGGTGTAAGATACCAACTTTGTGAAGTCCTGGATTATGATGTCCTGAGAAGGGTACATCACTTCAGTGAACTCTGATAAAAAATGCATAAAACTCAATTTAATCAAGAGAAAATAGCAAACATAGGAAATTGTACCAAAAACTGACTAATATTCTTCATAAGTGTCAAAGTCATGAAAGACAAGGAGAGGCTGAGGAATGGTCCACATGGTTGGAGACTAAGCAGAGCTGACAAATCCCTGGCGTTTGGGAAAGGCATCATGGGAAAGGACCATAGGGTAAACAGGGTATCCAAAGGACGTCTGCAGATTCGTTATTTGCTATTATTAGGTATTATACCAATGCTAATTTCTTAATTTTGATTATTATGCTAGGGGTCACATAAACTGTTGAACTCTTATGGGAAACTGGATCAAAGGTACACAGGAACTCTGTTCAATGTTTGTAACTTTTCCGTAGGTCAAATTGTTTCAAAACAAGAAGTTACAAACAAAACATAAGCCCTGATTTTGCATTGTTTTAAACATTTGTTTGAACTGTCTATTCTAGTTTCTCCAGATTTAGTCATTTGAGTACCAATTTCAGGATTCTTACCAGTATTCCCAACATTTAATGTTTTCTCACAATATTTTACAGGGGAGGAAATTGAAGCATAGTGAAGTAAATGACTCAGCATCACTGGACTAACAGGTTGTTGAGTCAGGATTCACTTTTAAGTAGCTTAACACAGTCTATGGTAACTTCTCTAGATTACCTTCCAATACTGCTATCACCTCTGCCGTTATTTACTTGGTAGCTTCTTTAGAATTGACCCAGTTTATTTCAAACTCTAAAATTAAACAAAGTGGTAAGCTATGTTATAAGGTCCTCAGGATAGAAATTTTTGTTTTCTCCACTGATGTACCACAAGTTCATTGAATAGTGCGTGGCACGTTAAAGATACTCAATAAAAATGTATATTGAATGAATGAATTTAAAACTTTATATCAGAACTGTAAGTGGAAAGTCAGCATCATTTTACAGAAATAGAAAGTAATCTTCAAAATAAATATAATGAGAATAATAGTGTTATTAAATGCTGCTGCTTCCTGATTGCTCTGGACCTGAGGCTTGGTATTTCTATATTTAAAAAGTAGTGCGAGGGAGGGCTTCCCTGATGGCTCAGTAGTGAAGAATCTGCCTGCCAATACAGGAGACACGGATTCTACCCTTGATCTAGGAAGACTCCACATGCCTCAGAGCAGCTAAGCCAATGTGCCACACTACTGAGCCTGTCCTCTAGCGCTCAGGAGCCATAACTACTGATCCCACGCACAACCAACCCTTGCGCCCTAGTGCCTGCACTTCACAACAAGAGAACCACAATGAGAAGCTCACACTCTGCAGCTAGAGCGTGGCCCCTGCTCCCCACAACTGGAGAGAAGACCACACAGCAACGAAGACCCAGCACAGTCAATAAATAAATAAATATATAAAAACTTTATATGATAACAGTAAATGGAAAGGCAGCATCATTTTCTAGACACAGAGAGTAAACTTGAAAATAAATACAATGAGAATAACACAGTGTTATGAAATATTGTTGCTTCCTGATTGCTCTGGACTTGAGGCCCGATATTTCTATATTTAAAAAGTAATGCAAGGGGGAAGAAAAGTAACACCAATATTAGTGTTAGTTAGTGTTAGTCACTCAGTCGTGACTGACCCTTTGCGACCCCATGGACTGTAGCTCACCAGGCTCTATGAGAAGGTATTAAAAAGGATACCAGTTACAGACTTTCTCCTTGATTTAATCAGAAAATTTCAATGAGAATGACAGAGAGAATACTTTTCTGAGTAAATCGGCTTTATCTAAAGTTGTATCAATTTGTACATGACCAACATAAGGGACCATTCTTTGGGGAAGATGGTTCTGTTCTAAAGGGACCAATCGAGTGAGGGTTCAATGTGAGATTAGACAACTCAGTCTCTCTTGACCATCTTCATGCCTTAAATGTCACTCTTATCTTCTGTAGTCTCCTTCCTCTTCTTGCTTACATCTCATTTCTATCTCTAATCCCTTATAGAATTATTTTTAGTTCTTGTAGCACTCCTTAGTGCATACCTCTTTAATAGCACTTAAAATATAAATTCATCATTATTTTTCCCAAGTCTGTCAACTTCACTTAAATTGTAATTATGTAGGACATCAGGGAGTGTGTGATATTTACATCTCCAGAGCTCTTACCAGTATCTAACAAAATGGTAGGCCCAAAACAACCTGTTGAATTATTAAATTAAGAAAATTACAGAAATTATAGGGGAAGAAAAAAACTGTGTGATTTTCTATCATCCTTTAAGCTGTGATTTTGTCCTCACTTGTGTTTGAAAAGCTTATTATTTGGATCCTTTATAAAATCTTCCCAGGCTCACATGCAGGTCCTCCATGAAGATGAAAAGTAAATAGCAATTGTTTCTTTCAAAAGCTCTTAGGATTAATTTGCTTCCTTGAATGATTATAATATATTGCTCTTCCTTTGCAGAATATTTGCTAAAACCTGATGGATGCTTCCCTTGTAGACATTACTGATGTGTTTTTGTCACTGACAGGAAGGCAAGAATAGGCTCTTCAAAAGTTTGGAGCTCAGAGTCAGGGTCTTTTCTCATCCTAGTATGAGGTTGATACTGCTTAGTGATTAGACAAGGGGATAGAGTGAAGTTTTCATTCTTCTGGGTCTTTTTGAATATCACTTAGCAATGGAGCTTTTTGATTGTTTGATTTTGTTTGATTTTGATTACTATTTAGTGAAGTTTTTACATGGTGTGTGATTTCAAAGGTAATGTCTAGAGAGGAGGGTGGGAAGGTAAAGAGAAAGAAGGAGACTTTTACCCTTCAGTTGGAACCATTCTTAAATGTTGAATTTTTAAATGTTTATTTATTTTGAAAGTCCTTATTGAATTTGTTACAATATTGCTTCTGTTTTATGTTTTGGTCCTTTGGCTACAAGGCATGTGGGATCTTAGGTCTCC